CTGCCTTCACCTCCTGTTAGTTGGACTGTCAATCAACTCGACCTGCTATCTCTCATCAAGTCGCTTTGCATGATTGCCAACACAAGTGTGTGCAGGACTTCGTACCTCCCCGCAGTGTGTACTTTGTGTGTGTGTGTGTCTCAGGGACCTCATCTGTCACCTGCTCTGGTCTCATGATGGGCTCTGACAGATGCGTTCAACAACACATGGGGGGCCGCGCATCTCTTTACATGCATGTTTGCATGGAAGAGTGTGTTTAGATTAGACCACAAGCAGACACGTAGGTGCATCGAACTAAACATCTCAGACAAAAGTGAAACTGCATGCAGAATGAAAGCACCGCTCTTCTTTATCTCGACATGAAAGAAACAATGAACATCAGAGAAATAGAGGAAGCTAATTTGACATAGCTTTACTGAATAAAGTCAGCTAGATAAACAGTATTTTAAATGTAATATGGGTCTCCACATCAACATATAATAAATGGTCTTGACATGACTAAATTTAGATAGAAAATACATAAATATATAAACTATAGCATACAAATATCATTATATTAATGAGCAATTAATTATATATTTAATATTTTTAATTACACCCCTAACTATAAGTATTAATCTTCAACACTTTGTCATGAGTCAATAAAAACCACCCAGAACAGCCTAGCAATCACATAGCAACACTCAATACACCCTAGCAACTACACAGCAACATGCTAAAAATCAGAACACTTTAGTAACCTCATAGCAACACCCTGGCAACCGCATAGCAACACATCCTTGCAACCACCCAGAACACCATTAAATAAGCTGAATAACACAACTTAGCAACCACATTGCAACGCCCTGGCAACCATTCAGAACACCCTAGCAACCACATAGCAACAAGCTAAAATCATTCAGAACACCTTAGAAACCCAATAGCAACACCCTGGCAACCACATAGCAACATGCTAAAAACTAGGACTGCCCCCTAATAGTCGACTAATCGTTAGTCGACCAGAAGAGGCTTGGTCGACCAAAATTTTATTAGTCGTGGAAAGAAAAAAAAAAAATTCCAAAGGCGAAGACACGCAGTTTGTGATGGACAGATTGTTAACGGCTGGTCTATGTGGTAATACAGTACATCCGGCAGGACATCAAAACGCTCACCTATCATTCATCGACCTCAAATATGGCTTATCATCTGAAATATGTAAGTATTAGCAACTTTACATGGCAGTGTCTGTGCGGAGTGTGGAAACTGAACAGTGGCGCGCTCACTGCAGAACAGATGGAGGTGCCGGTGCGCTCACTTGCTCTTAAAATACTGGTAATTTTTGCTCATACAGATAAGAGTAATACATATTTCAAATCTGTAAAGACTCTAAGTTTACTGTATTTGTGTGCACTCACAATAAAAACAAATCGCGCTTTTGTGAAATAATGAAAGCAAGCAGGATGTGCTTTCTGCCGTCTCGTTCTTTGTGAACTAGGACGCAAAACTCTGTGTATATCTTTACCTTACGGACATGAAATATATATCTATAGAGAGTGAAATGTCTACTTTCAAATGAACCAATTCAAATGTAAAACAAATATTCTCAGATTATGTAATCCATCTGAAACATGCATACAGGCGCAGCAGTACTGCGGGGATGACGAGTCAATGTCGCCGACTTAATCTCTTAAACCGAAAACAAAGAAAGCACTAGTTTATAAAATTATCAAAATGTTAATGCAGTCTCCTTACTGTTTTTCACTGACACATTCATAACCATTACTTCTGCCGGTGCGCTGTGGCAAGCTTTATTCATGCGCTTGAGCGCATGTTAGGCTACGTAGGCAATTAAAGGCTCATAATAATGATTTAAATGGTTTATTAATAAACGTGCGATTAGTCGACTAATGCTTAAAATGAACGACTACTAGTCGACCAGAAAAATCATTATTCAAGGACAGCCCTACTAAAAACCAAAACCCCATAGAAGCAGTAAAAAAGTTCTGAATACCTTAGCAACCACACAGCATCACCGTGGACACAGTGGCAACTAGCATGGCAACTGCTTTTTAGAGCACCCTAGGAACTGCATAGCAACACACCAAAAATCATTTAGCAACACCTTGGCAACTACCCAGAACAACAAACATCAAGTCAATGACTTTTTCAAGCACAAGCACCACTCACATTATAAAAATCTATATTTCATGAGTTCACACTCACATATAATAAACTGAGTAAAGGTTATGCATTTGGCGTGCTGTCTGGGGAGAGGACTCCGAGCTTGGTAATTACTCTCAAGCCCGGGGTATTCCCCCTGTACGGGGAGAGGGGTCAGAGCTCGGTTTTTAGCCCGGACCCAGAGCGCTCCCCCCAAAGATGCAATTTAGCACGGGACAGCAGCCAGAGAGGGGCGTTGATAACCCCCCAAAATTTGCTGGACATCGCTTGGAGCAGAATCATTGCGGTGGTACCTGAAAAGAGAATGTGGCTTCTGCGGAAGCGGGCACTGCTGCGGCATCTGAAAAGAGAATGTGGCTTCTACGAAAGCGAGCACTGCTGCGGCATTTGAAAAGAGAATGTGGCTTCTGCGGAAGCGGGCACTGCTGGGGCAGTGGAGAAATACATATAACGGTTCCTGAAGGAGCAGACACTGCTGCGGCAGTGGGGAGATATGGAAAGGCTCCTGCGGGAGCGGACACTGCTGCGGCAGTGGGGAAATATGGAAAAGCTCCTGCGGGAGCGGACACTGCTGCGGCAGTGGGGAGATATGGAAATGCTCCTGCGGGAGCGGACACTGCTGCGGCAGTGGGTAAATACATATAACGGCTCCTGCGGAAACAGACATTGCTGCAGCAGTGGGGAGAAATGGAAAGGCTCCTGCAGGAGCGGACACTGCTGCGGCAGTGGAGAGGTATGGAAAGGCTCCTGCGGGAGCGGACATTGCTGCGGCAGTGGGTAAATACATATAACGGCTCCTGTGGAAACAGACACTGCTTCAGCAGTGGGGAGAAATGGAAAGGCTCCTGCGGGAGCGGACACTGCTGCGGCAGTGGAGAGGTATGGAAAGGCTCCTGCGGGAGCGGACCTTGCTGCGGCAGTGGGTAAATACATATAACGGCTCCTGTGGAAACAGACACTGCTTCAGCAGTGGGGAGAAATGGAAAGGCTCCTGCGGGAGCGGACACTGTTGCGGCAGTGGGGAGGTATGGAAAGGCTCCTGCGGGAGCGGACACTGCTGCAGCAATGTGGGAATTAGGTAAGGCTCCTGCGGGAGTAGGGTGCTGCTGGGATGGCTGGAGTGGGGATGGGCCATTATAGGTGGATTGCGTGATGTTAAAAGGGGTTTGCTATGTTGGGTCTGAAGTTTGAGTGAACGGGGATGTACTGACGTTAAAGGGGGCGGCCAATGAGGGTTCGGTGGGCTTCCTTGATGTGGGAGCGGTCCGATCGAATGTAGCTCTTGAAAGCTTCTGATGATCAGCGACCGAGTGCTTGTATTGGCTGCTGGGAGAGGCCTTTTTGGGCCACTGTGGTTGCAGCACCAATTCGGAATGAATGGCTGGAAATGTTATCAGCTGGGGTACCAGATAGGAGCAGAACAGACTTAAGGTGCTTTTGAAACCAGAAACGAGTGATGGGGCGGTTGGAGTCGTCTGTAAAAAGGGGGTCAGATGGGAGTTTGGACTGTGATTTCCTGAGCTGGATGAAGGCTAGGAGGGCTTGGTATGGTAGTATGGGTGATTGGAGGTTGAAAATGAAAATGAAATGGCCTTTCTTGGTCTGGCCTGTTTTACTTTGCTTTATGAAGTAAGAGATGGTTTCGTCATCCAGCACTGCTAGATCAGAGATAGTGGGGTGGATGTTTGGGTTGAAGCTAGATGTGATAGCGAGCTCAGAGCTTCTGAGAAAACTGAAGAAAGTCAGGATGAACATGGTGTCAAGCGTACGGGCGGTGTGAATGGAATGGTAACCTCTGAGGAGGGTGGAAATACATTTAGTCAATATTTTTAAGGTTATGGGTTGCCTGGTGTCTGGGTGGGTGGGATGGGCTCTTTGGATACCTTTGAGGATTAGGGAGGTCTGTGAATTGGCTATCTGGGGTGAGGGTGAACCGTATAAGAGTTTGTGGAAAATTTGGATTCCGCTTAGATAACCGTTAATGGAGCTGATTTGTAGGTTTTTCTTGATGCTGAGGTGAGAGATGAACGAGGTGATGGAGAGCAAGGAAAAGTCAGGGAACGGCAGGTTGTAAGCAGAGTGAAATGCTTTAAAGCATTTCCATGCTGTTAGATAAGATTGGGGGGTCCTAGGGGAGACAGCTTGTAGGATAGAATTGAGGGAAGCTTCGAGGAGAGGTTTCAGTGGATGGTTTACGGGAATATCAGCTCTTAATAGGGAGGGATTGGGGTTGGGAGTGGTTCCGCCTCTGGTGCCAACAGTCTGAACTTCTGACAAAATCTGTGTCCTGATTCTGCTGGCTACGGGGGGTGGTTCCAAGGCGAGAGCATTTGGAGGGATGAGTAGGGGCATGGCGGAAGATAAAGAGAAGGAACAGCGAGTATGCGAGAGGGGAGGAGGAAAGTTAGCCGCCGGAAGCGCTTGCAGAGGCGTGCTCACGCTTGGGACGGCTCCAGGGGCGGAATAAGAAGGGGGAAAGAGAGGGAGAATGGCGGGCGTCGGGGCCTGCACCATTAGCGGAGGCATGCTCACACTTGGGACGACTCCAGGGGCGGAAGATTGAGGGGGAATGGCGGGCGTCAGGGCCTACGCCATTAGCGGAGGAATGCTCACACTTGGGATGACTCCAGGAGCGGAAGAAAGAGGGGGAAAGAGAGGGGGAATGGTGGGCGTCGGGGCCTGCGCCATTAGTGGAGGCATGCTCACGCTTGGGGCGGCTCCGGGAGCAGAAGAAAGAGGGGGAAAGAGAGGGCTGTGGATGGGTCTGCGCCACTAGTGGAGGCGTGCTCACGCTAGCATCTGCTACGGGAGCTGGAGGCAACTGAACAGAACAATTTTTATTAGTAGCACGAGGAAGCGGAAGAGATGTGGGCCTGTGTTCCAAATGGAAGCAGCCTCACGTTTGCTTCAGCTGCTGTAGCTGTAGGCCATGGAAAGGGGGTGGGGTTTGTGATGTCCTGAAGAGCCTGTGTAGCCTGCACTGCTAGCGGAGGCAGCCTCACGCTAGCCTCTGCTACGGGAGCTGGAGGCTGCTGAAAGGAAAAAAGGGGGTTAGAAGTAACAGGATGGGCATACTGAGATGTGAGGGCCTGTGTTGCAAGTGGAAGCAGCTTCATGCTTGCTTCGGCTGCTGTAGCTGTAGGCCGCAGGAAAGTGGAAGGGTTAGTGACATTTAGCGGGACAAGCTGAAATGCCTGGGCAGTGTTGCCGACTTAGTAATTTGTTGCTAGATTCGGCAAGTCCTCAAGCCTTGTCTACATTAATACGTTTCCGTTGAAAACGCATCTTTTCCTCTCGTTTTGGCCTTCCATCCACACTATGACAAGGAGTCCAGGAAAACAGAGCTTTTGAAACACTCTCCAGAGCAAATACATTTGAAAATGCTGTTTTCACGTTGTAGTATGGACTGTGGAAATGGAGGCTTTTGAAAACAATGACGCATGTTAAGTCATGTGACCCATATTGTACCAACAGACATGTATATACCGTTAACGTTAATTTTGCAGTTATTGTGCTATTCACTTTCACACTGTTGCTAAAGATATTTACTTTGCACACTCTTCATATTACAGTCCTAAAAAGATGACGGAAAATTTACTCACGATTGCTGTCCTGTGGCAAAACACGAGGGCAGTTGCGTTTTAGATCCATTCTGAGTGAGCGCGCCAGTGAATGGTGAAATATTTCCATAAATGAATTGATCCTGCCAGAAGAATTGCGTGAAACTTATTATGTCTGTTCCGTCTATCCTCTCAGTGAGGTTTTATACATGCACAGTAAGGCGAATGTAATGCTTTCAGATATTTCAGTGTGGATGTTAAACTTTGGAAAAACGCCTTGTTTGCTTCATGGTTACAAAATGGCATCAACATCCGTTTATGTCATAACATCGTTTAACAAACTTTAGCCGACTTCACCTGAAAATGTATTAATTTGCAACACGGCCTGCGCCGCTAGCAGAGGCAGCTTCAAGCTAGTGTCTGCTACGAGAGCTGGAGGCCCGTCTGCATACGGCATTGCGGCCGGAAGAGAGGGTGAAAGGCTGAGCCGAAGCGGTAAGCGAGTGAGGCTTTGCTGCGATGAGAACTGGGACACGGCCCAGGCTTGTTGAAGGCCTGCTGCTGCTGCTGCTGCTGCTGCTGCTGCTGCTGCTGCAACCCAGTGCTTGAGGAGAGCCGGGTCTTGTGCAGGACGATGCTGGTGTCGAGCGAGGCGGGCTCGGGGCTTTGCATGGTCTATTGGCCGTCTTGGCGGCTGGAGTGGATTTAGGAGTGAGATTGGCTAATTTGCAGGGTGACGAATAGATCGTACAGATCCGCTTTGTTTACCCTCCGGGAGAATGGTGTGTTGTAATTAATCAGCCTTTGCCTCGGGCTTAAATACTGTCCACTTTCCGATCGGAGGAGTTGCTGGTACGGCCAAATGATACGAGGATGCCGGGGAAGTTGGAAGTCTCGCCAGTGGAGGCGATGTTAAGCCTCGGCATCGTGGAGAGCGTGTGGCTGGCCGAGAAGAGCAGCGGCCACGATGACACTTGGTGCTTGGCGGCAGTGTCTGGCGGAGAAGGAGTGATCATGGGGCCGGTAAATTGCGGCGGAGGATTTGAAAAATCCCCAGTATAGGTCTCTTTGTTGGACGAGAAATTGGGTCTGTGGTAAAATGGCAAAAGGAGCGAACCGAATGCTGAAAGACTAGAGATAACAAAGGTAAGACTGCTTTGATTATTTATAGGGGTTCTCTCGTGCTGGTTGGATAGATGGTGTAATTACTGATGATGGATTGGCTGTGTTAATTATCTACACGTGCTCCTCCCGAAATTTTTTAAACATGTTAAACGAATTTGAAAACATCACAAAAATAAGGTACAAATTATTACATCGTTTAAAAAGGTTCAGAACTGACACATAAAAGCTTTTTTTATAGAAAAGCCTGGAAATTACAATGAAGATATTAATTCTTTATGAAATTTAATTAAGACTGAACAGCACATCTTGTAAAGTCACTGACTGTCTTGACGTAAAGCTTAACGTGCTCTTTTTTGTGGTTTTATTCTCAGAGATTCAGATGTATCAATGAAATGCAAATGTATTCAAGAACTGGATCGGTTTTCTCCCAACAGAGATCGGCCCACCATTTAATGGACCATCATAGTGAAAAGGTGATAACTGAAAGGTTTTATTACTATATTTTTATTGCTGACATTTTTCAAAAAAATTTAATATTAAAGTAAAGTGTGAATCAGAATCAGTCATACCTTTTCTTTCCTTATTTCACTCCAGCACATCCTGCCATTTCTCCCTCACCCTCTCTCATACACACAGGAGGCATTGTGAGAGTCTGGCAGTGTCTTCCTCTGACTGGAGAGAGAACCAGACAGATTTCATCTGATTAATCGCCAGTGTGTGGCCTTGTGTGGAGTGAAAGAGAGAGAAAAGTCAGGGGAAGGTGAGGGATGAAGATGTTTGATGGACTACTACACTCTACTGCTTTATTTCAGCTGCACTGACATTTTTCTCTCCCTGTTTGGCACTGGTTTCCACAAGGAGCACTTTTCCAATCAATGCATTCATCATACTGTCCCAGGTACAGTAGTTAGGTGACAAGACCTATATATGTTCAAAAATTACAAAGATTAGAATGCACTCTATTTTTGTATTATTATTATTATTTTTTATATTTTAAAATTAACAACTGATCTTTCGGCTATCTGCCTTCATCATTATAACAATTCTTTGTTTCTCAGTGATTATAGAAAACAACAAACATCAGGTGATCATAATCAATCAATCCAATTGCTTTTTATCTCCTGCTTTAACTTAAATTAAAAAAAAATTATAGTGCATACAATCTTTGTATTTTTTAAACAAGTGCAATACAAACACAAGCTTATTAAAAGATTACAAAATATCCATTGTTAATATGTTTAATCAGGTGAAAAAAATTATTTTGCTTTTAGAAGGATTTAGATGTGCAGGTTAAACTTGTGCATGTGTTGGATTGGAGGGTGACGCCCTACTTAGGGGCCTAAAAAGACCCCTGGTGAAAATTCTGCCATGGCAAGATTAAAAATAAAAAAGTGCTGGCTCAAATCTTTCAAAGCTGCCATAGCAGCCAAACCAGTGGAACGATATTGTCATGTTTGTAAATTAGCGCATAAATACAGAAATGTGTGGGAGTAATCCTCTAATCGTGTTCATTTTAGAGCACTGCGAGGCACTGAGTTTGCCGTTGCTCACCACTGCGGATTACTGGAGCTCATTAAACACACAGATGAATTATTGAAATGGTCCGGGGGCCTTTTGCTTCTATCCAAATTGAAGACAAAGGGGACTGGGAAATGTATGCTTTATCAGGGCCGGCCATCTCTCCCACATGCTGCAACTCCTGGGCACAACATCGGTGCGATTGACCCCTCTAAAGCTCCAAGATTAAATGCTTTATTGACTGTTGGAGGGGCATCAAAGTGAACGGGCTCGCACATGATCGCACCTTCAAATGTCACTGTCACTGTCCTAGTCCGCACGCTATTGATGGGAGGTCCTGTATTTGCGGCTTTGTGGATTTTAAATTCGGGTTTTGTAGGATTAAAAAAAAAAAAGCCAATGAAAAGGTAATGCCAAAGGATGCTAGACTTGAACATACAACTTAGCTGTCTTTCTTTTTTAGCAACCACATAGCAACACCCTGGCAACCACCCAGAACACCCAAGAAACTGCATAGCAATGTGCTAAATCCATTTAGAAAACCTTAGCAACCACATAGCAACACCCTGGCAAACACATACAGTAGCAACATGCTGAATTCCACTCTGAACACTTTAACAACCACATAGTAACACCCTGCTACTTTTTCATACTCAATATCCTACAATAATGAGTGCAAATATAAAATAGATGAGAATACAATATAAGACTGCATGGCGATGTGCTAAAATCCTCTCAGAGCACCTTAAAAAAAATCACACAGCAACATGCTAAAATCCCTAAAATGCCTTAGGAACCACACAGCAATACCTTAGCAACTGTATAACAACATTCTAAATTCCACTCAGAACCCTTTATAAACCACATAGCAACTGCATAGCAACATGCTAAAATACATATAGAACACTGTAACAACCGCATAGCATAGCATTTGCAATTTGAAAACCGCTAATGAACAGTTCATGCTAAAAGACGCTAGTCTTGAACATCAGCACCTAGTTGTGTCTTTCTCTGCGTGGGAGAAAGCAGTCTTGCAGGCATGCGGTAAAGGGCAGAGCCTGATTGAGCTGAAGTGAAGGCAAAGGCCAGGCCATCTAAAGAGCGATTGCAGGTGGGCATATTGGCTTTTCCAAATCACTGGTATTAATTTGTGGAGTTGACGTCCTCTACACTTTATAAGAGGCCAGGCACTTTCAATAAGTTCGAAGGAGCAAGAGGTATCATGCTCAGAGAGACTGGATTTTCACGGTTTATCTGGTACCTGCACCTGGGGCCTGCGGTCCCACCGCCCTCTCTTTCCAAGGTACATTCAAGCCCTCGTCAACATTCCTGGTCCACATTGCCTGTGACATTAAATTAAATAGGTTATTGACTGACCAGTAAGTTGGCAATGAGTCTGCTTGAATTCACGCTCACTGCCTCACTGACCCAACAGGCTCCGGGTCACCGCACCAGAAATCAAAGCATGATGGATGCTGATCTCCTCAACTATTTCCATCTACACTTATTATTTTTTAATTTGTAGTGATGTTAATCCCATTGCTTTTGATGGATAGCTTCTGGCAGGTACAACAACACCTGCAAACAACATTGTCCCTCTTACTTGCTGTCTGTGGATCCCTCACATTTACAGTGGTTCTCTTATTTCATTGCTTTTGCATTCTTGGTGCTTTTTATCCAGTACCAGTATCTTACAATAATGAATACAAATCGTGTAAAATAACTGGGAATATTTGACTAGCCGTGATAGTTCACCCCAAAAAAGTAAACCATGATTTACTCACCCTCATGTCATTACAAAGCTGTAAACTTTCTATATTGTGTGGAAAACAGACATTTAGAATGTTTTGTTGCTCCATACAATGAAAGTCAATGGGATCCAGTTTTGTATCCAATCATGACATGAGGGTGAGTAAATATGACAGAATTTTCAGTTTTGGTGACATAATGAACATATATTCATTCCCCAAGTGTATTACAATGCATGGTGGGAACTTACGAACCATTAAAGGGATGTTTAAAAAAAATAAAAATAAAATAAAATAAATGAAATAAAATAAATAAATAATCTGGACTAGAAAATCATTAACACTTCTAAACAGGGGCACCTGCAGGATTTCAGCAGATGGTACGCACAAAGACGATTTTTTTTTTTTAATTAAAGTGTCTCTAGACACGTGAAAATCTTTTTTTTATATATATATATATATACAAAAAGCAACGGAATGGTCAAAGACATCCATCGCATGTTCACATAGCAAAACAACTGAAAAACAGTGCTGGTGCACACAAAAACCAATTAGGTGTGAATGGCCTTTTATTCACAGGACTCAGCATAATTTTGTTAAAGTTAACTTTCAAAATGCAGTCTTTTGTTTCAGTTGTTTGTAGTTGATTGTCCACTTCATCCAGCACAGTTTGGTCTCTGTGTTCTTGTTTGTTTTACTGACTGAGAAACCGCTTCAGGTGATTCAACATAGGCTGTGAATCACCTCCAGGTAAAAGTAGCCTAATGTTAGTGCGTAATCTATTAACTATGCACATCATAAACCGCTCTTTTTTTAGTGTCATGTCATAAAATATTTTAATACGACTGAATTTATATTTAATGTGATCACAGTTTAATAAAAACATTGTATGTTACAAATTATTTCATTATTTTGTTTAAATTCTACAGTTATTTCAACAGTGAATAACTTATATACCAAAAGCGAGCAAAGAATTTACATTATCACATTATCAATGACAATAGTCTAGCATGAGTTTAAGTACTCTCAAACGACTCACATTATAATCACTGAAGCTGCCTACACTGTGAAATGAATATCGTACTTACATTGTACGTACATCTGAACAAAACTCAGAGCATTGACTCATCTGAACGCTTCTGATTGGTCATTGCATTAATAAACTCAACAGAATCGAGTGTGATTGCTTATAATGCGCAATGCTGTGGAACGCGTAAAAAGAAATATGATGCAATATGCTCAGATAATGCCACAATCAACACTTTGAAACACATTGAAAATTCAGCTTTGCCATCAAAGGGAATAAATCACATTTTACAATATATTAAACTGAAAACAGTTTTTCTCAATATTATTGAAAGTCTTGAACGATAGTGTATACATTCTGTACAGTATATGCAGGTGATTGTTTAGCCTTTAACTATTCCCTGAAATTTTTATATTTTGTAATAATATTTTGTAATACATTTTCAAATAAAATTTTCAGCATAAAGATAGTTTCTTATAAAGAACATGAGTATGTGTTTAGTTTTGGGATACTGAAGGTCACTTCTACTTCCTCCAACTTTGATTCTCTTTACTTTTCAATCCCTCCATCGTTCAACCTTCAAACAAACAATGTTCAG